TGTGTGTGTGTGTGTGTGTGTGTGTGTGTGTGTGTGTGTGTGTGTGTTTAAATTCAAATGTTTCTATAAAATCTTGTTTCCTAAAAAGAAAGGTGTAAAGCAGGTATGACATAATGACTAACATTTGGTAACTTAGGATGGAAGGTACATAAGTGTTCATTATAATGCTTTATTCCCTGAATGCTTGAAATATTTCATGATTTATAAAATTTTGTTAAAAGGAACTAGAATAGAATAATGTCTCATACTATCATAGCACTGACTACCTGTTCTAAGTGTTTTACTCATATTTACTCCTTTAATACTCCTAATAGTCCTATGAGATAGGTAATATTATAATTCCAATTTTATATCGACAACAGGCCTAGAAAAATTGACTTCTCCAAGGTTACACAGCAAGCAATATGGTTTCCGAGTCTCTGCTATTCACACTGCCCCTTTATAATTTTTCTAGAAAACCAGAAAGTAACAGCCTTCAAGTCATATTCAACAAAATGATTAATGCTGAAACCAACAGTCAGTCTCCAAGAGAAAGATTATGTCTTATTTTCTTTCCACCCAGAATGAGAAATCAACTAATTTCAGATAAAGTAAGCTGTAAGTATTTTAAGAATTCAAGAAGTTAGTTATAAGAATTCAAGAAGTTGTATATATTATTTCAGAAGCTATATAAGCTTCTTCCTTTTCCCCTATGTAAGTACACAAACTTTAAGCAACTCACTTGGCATTCTTTTCAGCATCTAAAAGAGCTTGTGCCAAATTCTTGTGAACCTTTTCTGCTTCCTTTGTTAATTTCACATCATGTGCCCGAACCAGACACAGTTCCCTGAAATAAAGCAAAAAATTTTAAACCCATAGTTGAAGGCTTCCAAAAAGTTTCTACCCAGGAAATTTGATTTATATCAGGTATCTTCTCAGCTATCATCTATGTCTCTCTTCCTAGTTTTTCCACCTTAGAAATCAAATTAAGAAATCAAGTGAGCTAGGCATGGTGGCTCACAACTGTAATCCCAGCACTTTGGGAGGTAGAGGTGAGACAATTGCCTGAGTCCAGGGATTTGAGACCAGCCTGGGCAACTGAGACCTCGTCGCTTAAAAAAAAAAAAAGAAAGAAATCAAGTGTACATGCCGAATGGATTCTTGCCAGGTTTGGCAATGAAATCAGGCTGGCAAGAAATGGCAGTAAGAAGATGTGGGGGAGATCGTCTAGTATGGAGGGGAGGCAGATTCTGACAGGCAAGGCCTATATGCTGCTCTGCCCCACTCTCTGATAAGCCTATCCTGTCCTCTTTATTCTCACCGCTAATCAAGTTTAGATGATCACTAACCTTGACTGCTGTATAATACTTGTTGTCTTTGGGGTTTAGATCTTAACATTCATAATCAAGGCAGCAATGCTCTGTAAACCTGATTAAAGTAAATATGTGTATCTTGGAAGGAAAAGCAAGAGTCTCTTGCCTGTCAAATATATACAAAGCCTTAGTTTTGTGTTAACCACATAATCTATATACAGATTTCTCTACAGCCATATCTACAATGATATCTAGCTCTTTCTGTTCTCTTGCTACACATGATAACAAAGGAGTCTTCATCTTTATCTACTTTCTCTAAATATTTTTTACTCTCTAGAGAGATAGACTTTTGTTTTATATTTAGGATAACTGCAGTTTTTACCTGGTCAGTTCCTCAATAACATGCTTGAAATTATACAATTCTTCTAAAATACGCTGGTCCATCACTCGTTGAGTTACCACATCTTTGTAGAAATCAATCATTTGCCGGGCAATCTGGTCAAGCATTTGCACATACCTCTCCCTGCATGAGAAAAAAAAAAAAAAAAAGGAAACAAGAAAAGGAAAGGAAAAAAGAGGCAGAAAATATTCAAGAGAGAAAGTAATGCTAGGGAAAGAAATAGTAAACAGGCATTCATAAAACATATGTGGGAAGAACAAAACAGGAAAAAAAAACAAAAACAAAAAACAGAACCTTGGCTGTGTTTTCCTGCCATGGCATACAAGTGAATGAACAATTGTGGAGAATTATAACCAAAGCCATAATTGTTGGGAATATCATATCTGAGACATAAAACAAAATAAGAACTTGCTTTATTTCTTCTTCTAGATTATAAACTCTTAAGAGAATAGGAACCATATCTTACATATTTGTATCCTTACAACATCTAACAGGGTACATTGACTATAGCAAGATTTTTATAAATAGTTGAATTCATGAATAAAACCACTGTTTTCCAAACTGACAAAATGTAAAAAGACACCAACTATTTACAAATAAAGATTTTAATATAAATAACTAATTTATTTTGCTTCTGAATAAAACCAAACAAAATATTTGAAACTGAACATAGCTAATAAAGTGTAAATACCATAACTAAGTAGTGTTCACTTATATTAAAAATGATCTAGGCTATATCCTAAGCCTGAGATCTTAGAATTGTAATATCTTTGAATTGGACTGGTCATTTGGTCCAATCTCTCATCCACTGAAATAAAGAATCATCCAGTTCTTGCTTAAAAACTTAAAATGGGCCGGGATCAGTGGCTCAGCCTGTAGTCTCAGCACCTTGGGAGGCCAAGGCAAGTGGATTGCCTGAGCCCCCGGGGTTCAAGACCCACCTGGGCAATTTGGCGAGACCTCGTCTCTACAATAAATAAAAAATTAGCCCAATGTGGTAGCGCACACCTCTAGTTCCAGCTACTTGGAAGGCTGAGACAGAAGGATCACCAGAGCCCAGCAGGTTGATGCTGGGATGGCTTTGAGCGTGCCACTGCACTCTGGCCTGTGTGAGGGAGTGAGACTTCAACTCAAAGAACTCCAAAGAGATCAGTGGTGAGTACAGGTCTGACTCAAACCCCATCCTCCCCAGCAATCCTCTGAATGTCAGACCTACACAGCTAGGCCACGACTGAGGGGACAAACCCAGGCGGATCCTGGACATCAGTCAAAATAGGAGAACTCCATTCCAGTATAAGCCTGACTGGGGCACCCCCTGCAAGTACATAACTGGGGAAGAGACAATCCTCTACCTCCCCACCAGAGATCATCTCCCTGACCATATGAGAGAGGGAGGGGAGAACTGCAGCCCCACCCACCTCCACTGCCCCTCCTCCATCCCTGCTTCAGACACTGAGAGAGTGAAAGATGTGTCTCTGCAGGAGAGACCTGATTAGAGGAATAATTATAGAGCCTGCTACAAGAGGGCAGGTTTTTTTCTTTCAATTTTTTTAATTGAAAAATTTTTTTGACTGTTAATTCATCTATTTTTAAAATATTTTTCCTTTGTGCATGAATGTGTATGTGAGGGTTTGATCTGCATCCCTCCAAATTTTTTTATTTTCTTTTTCTATTTTTTTTTCTTTTATTTGTCATTTTCTTTTCTTTTTTTTTTTTTTTTTGAGTTGGAGTCTCACTCGGTTGCCCAGACTGGAGTACAGTGGCCGCTCCGGCCACCACAGCCTCGACCTGCTGGGCTCCAGCGATCCTTCCGCCTCAGCCTTCCAAGTAGCCAGAATTACAGGCATGCGCTACCACGCCCGGCTGATTTTTTGATTTATTGTAGAGATGAGGTCTCGCTGCCCAGGCGGGTCTCGAACCTGCGGGCTCAGGCAATCCACTCACCTCAGCCTCCCAAAGGCGCGGGATTACAGGCTGAGCCACCGAGCCCGGCTTTATTTGTCATTTTCTATTTATGTGTGTATGTGAATGACTGAGTGTTCATCTTTCAATTTTGTTGTTGTTGTTGAGTTGCTTTTGCTCTTGCTCTTTTGTTCTTCTGGGGGGTTTTGTTTTCATATTTTATAGTTTAAGGTGTGTGTCAATATATGTGTGAGGGTTCAACCTGAATTCCTTATTTATTTATTTATTTATTTATTTTCCTCCGGTTTTTCTGTTTTTCTTCTCTATTCACTTTGTGCTAGGCGTGTGTGTGTGTGTGTGTGTGTGTGTGTTTAGTTTTCTTGGTTATTGTTGTTGTTTGTTTTGTTTCACTTTGCTGTTATTCCAGTTTGTTTTGGGGTGTGTGTATATGTCTTGTGTGTGTGTGTGTGTGTGTGTGTGTTCAATTGTTTTTTGCATTCGTTTCTGCTTTGCATCATCGTATAGAGTGGTGGTGAGGAGTGGGTCTCAGGGAACACATACCACAATAAGTGAACACTGTAATTTGCAAGTAGTTTCTGAATCCTAGCACCCTATCCCCTACTTTGTTTGAATTCCAAAAACTACAAGAAACAACAAAGGTTCCCATCCACCATCCTATTTCAAAATAGAACAAATCCAGAGCCCGAATCAGATAAGAATAGAGGACTGAGCAAACATCAGAAGAGAAAGACTCTCCCACACAGTGAATAAGAAAACTAAAGATGAAAACAAGAACTCTGTCACAAATGAGGAAAAACCAAAGAAAGACCTCAGGAAATTTCAAGTGTACCAAAGATAAAACTCCTAAAAAATCAGACTTTGGTGCATAAACAATGGAAGTCATCAATAGCTGTCCCCAGAATACCACAAGGATTCGGGAATGGACGAAAAGAGTGAATAAGACTCAAAAAAGATAAGATGCAACACTGAAAGAACTTGTAACAGAGATTTTGGCAATAAAAAACTTCATCCAGGAAATAAATAACAAGATGACAAGCTTGGGAAGCAGAATTAATCAAGCTGAAGAAAGAATCTCAGAACTTGAAGACCAGTACATGGAATTAGCCGAATCTATAAAAAATATGGAAAGAAGACTCAGAAAGAAAGAAAAAAGCCTATAAGAGATGTGCAATTATATCAAGAGGCTGAACCTATGCCTGATTAGTATCCCAGAAGAAGAAAAGGAAATGGAGAACAATTTAGAACAAGTATTCCAGGAAATAATCCAAGAAAACTTTCCCCATCTCACCAGAGATGTGACCAGCCAAGCACAAGAGATACAGAGAACCCCCAAAAGACATCAAATGAGAAGACCAACCCCCAGACACATAGTAATTCACCTACACAAAAAGGCACAAAAGAAAAAATCGTAAAGGTAGAATGAGAGAAAGGTCAGACTACCTATTGGGGAAAACCAATTAGAATAGCAGCAGACCTATCACCAGAAACACTACAAGCAAGAAGGGACTAGAGCCCTATATTCAAAGTTTTCAACGATAAACAATATAACTAAGATTTCTTATCCAGCCAAGCTCAGCTTCATCAGTGAAGAAGAATTAAAATTCTTCCCAGACATCCAATCCCTAAGAGATTATGCAGCTTCCAGACCAGCTCTACATGAGACACTTAAAAAGGTATAAAGCACAGAAGAAAGAAGAAAAAGATTGACCACACACTTCCCAGGAGAAGAGCAGACCACAGAATCAGCAGAGAATACAGCGCAACAAGAAACTTGAAAACACACACATACATTAACTCCAAAGCCAAAAGAAAACAAGCAAAGGAAAAGCTTTATAAGATCCTCATGACAGGGATAAACAATCATATTTCAATAATCACTTGAATGTGAATGGACTAAATACACCACTGAAAAGACACAGAATGGCAGACTGGATAAGAAACCATGACCTAATTATTTGCTGCATCCAGGAGACTCATCTCACTTCAAGGGATGCACACAGACTCAAAGTTAAAGGTTGGAAAACGAGTTTCCAGGCAAATGGATCACAAAGCAAGGCAGGAGTTGCAATCTTAATATCAGACAAAACAATCTTTAAGCTATCAAAAATTTTAAAAGATGCAAAAGGATACTACATAATGATAAAAGGTTCAATCCATCAACAAGTAATGTTCATCCTAAACATATAAGCACCTATCACAGGAGCACCAGCATCTATAAAACAACTACTAAATAAACTAAAAAAAGATATTGACTCTAACACTATTATAGCAGGGGACTTGAATACCCCACTGATAGCCCTAGATAGGTCATCAAGGCAAAAAATCAACAAGGAGATCCAGAACCTAAGCTTAATACTCAACCAAATGGACTTAATAGATACCTACAGATTATTCCACTCAACAACCACAGAATATACATTCTACTCATCACCACATGGAACATACTCCAAGATGATCACATCCGTGGTCATAAATCAAGCATAAACAAATTCCATAAGATTGAAATCTGGCCATGCACATTCTCAGACCATAGTGGAATAAAAATAAATATCAACACCAACAACATTTCCCAAAAGCCCACAAAGACATGGACACTAAATAGCAGGATGCTGAACAACTATTGGGTCAACACTGAAATCAAAGCAGAAACTGAAAGATTCCTGGAAACAAATGAAAATGAAGAAACAACTTACCAAAACTTCAGGGATGCCCTGAAAGCAGTTCTCAGAGGGGAATTTATATCTCTACAAGCACACATCAAGACAATGGAAAGATCAGAAGTTGAGAGCCTAACAAATCACCTAAGGGAGCTGGAAAAAGAAGATGACCAAAACCTCAACTTTAGCAGAAGAATCCAAATCACAAAAATAAGAGCCCAAATACAGAGTATAGAAGACAAAAATATCATAGAAAACATCAACAAAACAAAAAGTTTGTTCTTTGAGAGAATTAACAAGATTGATGGGCTCCCAGCCAGAATGAACAAGAAATGGATAGAAAAAGCACAAATAAACACAATCAGAAATAGAAAATGTCAAATCACAACTGACTCCGAAGAAATACAAAAGATTATCAGAGATTACTATGTACACATGTATGGAAACAAACTTGATAACCTAAATGAAATGGAGGACTTTCTCACATCATACAACCTCCCCAGATTGAAACAAGAAGACATTGAGACACTAAATAGAGCAATAACAAACCAGGAAATTGACTCTGTCATAAGAAAACTACCTACCAAAAAAAAAGCCCTGGACCGGATGACTTTCCAACAGAATTCTGGAACAAAACGTACAAGGAGAAGCTGATACCAATCCTACTGAAAGTATTCCAAGCAATTGAGAAAGATGGAATTCTCCTGAAATCATTTTACAATGCTAACATCACACTGATACCCAAACTGGGTAAAGATTCAACAACAAAAAAAGAGAACTAAAGGCCAATATCCCTTATGAACATAGATGCAAAATCCTCAACAAGATTCTAGCAAATCAGATCCAAAAACACATCTCAAAAATCATCTACTATGTCCCAGTAGGCTTCATTCCCAGAATGTAGGGCTGGTTCAACATTCGCAAGACCATAAATGTCCTTAAATACATCAACAGATGTAAAACAAGAACCACATGATTATCTCATTAGATGCAAAAAACTTTTGATAAAATCCAGCATCCTTTCTTGATAAAAAACCCTCAAAAACCTAGGTATAGAAGAAACATACCTCAAAATAGTAAGTGCCATCTACGATAAACCCACAGCTAACATATTGCTAAATTGACAGAAGCTGGAAACATTTCCCCTGAAAACTGGAACAAGACAAGGCTGCCCACTCTCACCCCACTTGGTCAATACTGTGTTGGAAGTCCTAGCTCAGGCAATTAGATAAGAGAAGAAAATCAGGGGTATCCAAATAGGAAAAGAGGAGGTCAAGTTATCCCTCTTTGCTGATATGATCCTATACCTGGAGAATCTGTCAAAACCCTGCTTGCACTGATAAAGGACTTTGGCAAAGTCTCAGGGTACTAAATAAACATGCAAAAGACAGTTGTGTTGGGAGCCAACATCTATAGCTACATGGCTGAGGCCTGTAAAGGCCCATCTGGAAGATCGCTTCTGACATAGGATATCAGTTATACCTATAATATTGGCGTGTGATTAGTGACCAGTGTGCATACATGGCAGTAAAACTTATAAGTAAATCTCAATACACCTGATGGAAAGTGCATAGCAGAATTATTTCTCTCTGTCTTTCTAAGTTTTACTTCTTTCTAGATATTTTTTAACTTCTATTTCCTGGTAGACTGGGTAGTCAGCTCTTGTTCCTGAAAGCTGTTTCCCCTAGGGCTAAGATTAGAAACTTAATTACCATGATAGTTTTGTCACCCTGCCCCTAGCCAGGCAGAACGTTTTCTTTTGTTTCGTTAATTACCGAAACTCTGTCTGCTTCAGCCCATGGCCGCCATCTTGGCAGCCATGCATTTCCTTGTTCAAGAGTGTGACAGCTACTATTTGATTTATAGAGTAGACTTGTTAGAATAAAATATATACACATACACTCATAGTTGTGTAAATTTGCGCTTGCTGTTTTGTTTCCTTTTGCTCCATTATTCAAGTGTAATAGTTACTATACGATTTATGAAAGAATTAATGATGAGGTATTAGCTTAGTAGGATATAGCATAGTATTAAAGGTCAATCACTAGATCATATAAAAATTAAAGTTCAGACATATGAAACATGAATTATGGTAAAGTTTTGTAGTTTAAGAATAAGTTTTAACTGAGTTATAAGGCATTACGTTAAATCATAATAGGTTAATAGTATAACTGACAGTTAAGTCATTTAACTAAACTTATAGATTATAGTATAGTGTTAAGTTGATAATATTAATCGTTAAAAATATTAGGAGTCAGTGAACTTGGATTGAACCTAGAGTTAACTTAGAAAAGTTTTTTGTATTAATCAGGGTTTAGAACAAAGAGTATAATATGAATGATTCATTGAACATTATGGAAAATACTTTGAACGATTTGTATTGAAATTGTGCACCTATGATCTTAATGTAAGCACGACAGGCATCATGGAATTCGAATTGTTTGCTTGGAAAT